TCCCAGGCAGTCCGCCCCCCCCCCCTCGTTCCCTTAAATGAAGTAGAACATCTTTCAAGGAGCTGGTATGGGAATCTTAGTGGCCCTCCCCAGCTCCCAGAACTCAAGTCTCCTTCATACCAAGGTCAATCCCTAGGGATACAAAATGTTAGCTTTACACAGCTGTTTTGTTCACAGGTGTATCCCTAGCATGTACAGCAGTGCCAGACACACAATAGATGTTCAGTAAATACTTGTGGAATAAATAGGTGCTATTGACCAATGAACAGAGAGCCTACCTTAAATTGTCTTTGAGAAAAAAATAAATCCGACCAATCTTCCCACTTTTCTCTAAGAAAATAGTAAGCAAGTGATTGAGAAGTTTGAACAAGTCAATACTGGGCTGTAAATTCTCCGGTCTTCACTTACTCATTTGATAAGCATTCGTTAGATGTTTACTGTATACCATCTATGTGTAGCTCTGGGGATACAGAGATGAATCAAACATAGCCTTGCCCTTGAGAGCTTACAGATTAGTGAGACAGAGCTAAGTCAAATAAAGTACAGTAAAGGCCTTGAAAGAGCAAAGGATAAAATGGTCACAGAGGAGAGACACCTAAGACTGTAGGGAAAAAACAAGGAGCCCCAACTCTTGCCAGGCAAAAGAGAACAACGTGGTAAATAGTGCAGTACTAGGCTGACAGAGGAAACTGCTGCTCAGCAAGGCAGGGATGAATAAAGGGAAACAGGTCTGAGGCCCAAGCCCTGGATGCAACCACAGAGTCTGTCTGGTGCTGGAGGCTAAAGCCATAACTCCTGCACTGACTGGCTTATACAGGACCAATCCCTATCCTCTGGTATATTTCACATGAATAGATGCCTCCCTTAGATGTGGGGAAGAATAGTATGAAGAAGAGCATATGTGGGGCATAGGTAGCGCCAGAAGATGAAGAAAAGATTTATAAGAAAGAGAATAAGAAAGGGAGGAAGGAAGAAGGGAGAAAATAAGGAGAAGAGAGAGGGAGAAAGAGAGAGAGAGAGAAGGGAGATCACTATCACATCATTTTTGTTTTATTTGTACTTATCCACAGGACGGTTTTCTCTATCATTGACTCAGAAGGAAGGAAGGAAGGAAGGAAGGAAGGAAGGAAAGGAGAGAAAGATAGATGTTGGAAGGGTCAGGTAGATGATAGAGATAAGAGAGAAAGATGATTCAGAGAAGCACGAATGACAGTAAGGGAGAAATCCCTGAGAAAGAATATAGAGAAATACATAGTAGAAAGAAATGAATGATAGAGGGAGATGAATGACAGAGTAAGAGAAACATGATAAATAAGTAGATGATAGAGAGGTAAATAGATGAAAGCTTTTTAGTAATTTATTCAGTCATTTACTGTGACAGGCTCCATACTAGACACTGAGGGTGCAGAGCTGTCTAAGATAAGGGCCCTGTTTCTAACAAGCTTGTTATATAGTAGGATAATTCAGTGGAAACAGAAAATCTCAGTGGTGCAAGATTCTAAAGGCCTAAAAAAGGTAATCTTGAGGAGAATGGCCTTGCTGGGGAAAACACGGGTTGAAGTGGTTACAGGCCAGACACAGACAAGGAGGTATAAGAAGAAGGGCAGGGGAAGCTGCCTGTCAAAGGGCAGGAACCAGAGTCACAGGTTAGCAGCAGTAGCTAAGATTTATGGGAGGAAAGCCAGGTGAGGCCCCTACTTTTAACCATATTGCTCTATTATGGATTTCAGAGTGCCTAGCGGGGAGGCCGAAGGCACAAGAAGACTTTGTACTGGGATGGAGGATGGTGCCTGCTCCAGAGTCTCATATGCAAAGCACTGATGCTAGAAATCTCTCTAGCTTCTATTACCTGGTAGTCATCCGTTAACAACTATTTATATGTCATCTCGCAGAAGTATAATGTACTACTACAGACTGTGTACCATGTGAATCTATATACCTCTGGGAACTGAGGATACAGTGGAGAATAGGGCATTGCTCTTATTTTTGGCCCTTCTTTCACATCCAGGATTCCCAAAGTTCTTCCAAGTCCAGGGTTTAAAATGTGAACAGTCAGCTTTGATATCACCTTCTCCCCAACCATCCAATTCCTCACTGAGTTCTACTAAGACTTCTTTTATGATATATCTCTTGGCTTTGCGCCTCTCTCTCTCTCTCTCTCTCTCTCTCTCTCTCTTTTTCTTTCTCTCTCTCTCTCTCTCTTTCTTTTTCTTTCTCTTCTCATTGAGACTATTCCACATAATCACATTTCTCTATAGAACCCACCACCAATACCTCCTGTTCTAGTCCAGGCCCTTAACACTTTACGTCCAAAATATCATGCCAGTCTCCCAGCCAGTCTCCCTTTGTTCCACCTTCAGTCACAGCTTTTAGATCATATCATGTCAAACACCAACTGAACTGAAGCACCCTCCTATTCAAGAATCTTCACTGGTTACCTATTTCTTACCCTGTTCTGCATCAAATGTAAACTGGATCAGACATTCAATGACCTCTATAACCTATCTTTACCCATGCAGCCCAAACTCTCATGTCGCTGCTCCAGTCACACTCTGCAAACAGCTTTATGCCTTTGCTGTTGGTTTTCCAGTAGCAACCAGCACAAGCTCTGGAGTTGGACCACTTTGGTTTGAATCTCAGCTCTACCACTTATTAGCTCTATTGCTTTAGATAGGTGACTTTACTTCTCAGAGCTCTATTTGTCATGGCAGTAAAATGGGGATAAAAGTACCTAATTAAAGGAGTTTGTAAAGATCAAGTGAGACAATGCATGCCGACTGCTTAGAACAGGGTCTTGTAAGCTTTCAACAAATTTTAGTTATTACCGTGACTGTTCCCTCCACCTGAAATGCCCCCTCCCATTTTTGTTAATCTAAATCCTACCTGTTCTTCAAAGTACTGCCCTGGTACCATCTCCTCCAGGGAGCTCGTCATTAGTAACCTAGTCTTCACAATTTAGCCTATAATAATATGATGTTTTATATTGCTCATGATTATTTCTTGTGTGTTAGTCTCATCCTACCAACTACACTGAGCCAGCAGACAATGAAACAAAAATGAGTGAGACAGATCTAGGTTCATATCCTAACTCTACCACTGTGGATGTGTGATTCTATGCAAGTCACCTAATCCATCTGAACTTCAGTTGTCTTATCTGAAAAAGGGAACAATAATCCATACCTGGCTAGGTTATTGTGGGGATTAGAGATAATATTCTCAAAGCATCTAGGACACAGCCTGATGCATAGCAAGTGGTCAATAAATAATAGGTACTATAATAAGAGTTATCAGGTCAGACTTGTCCTTCTTAATGGTTCAGAAGTACTCCCACCCAGATTTGTCCATCCACTGTCAAAATTTTGCTACACTCCTCCCTCGCCACACTTTGGAAAGTAGCTTACAAAGGCCCCTACTCTCTCTAGGGTTTATCCAGGAATAGGGAACACTTCCAAAGGTGACAGAAGCAAGGCAGTAGGGGCTTTTGGACTACTGGGAGAAAAACCACAAGCTGGAGGGAAGAAAATCCCAGCATAGGAACTGCAGCCAGAGTTGGAGCTTTCCATTTCTAGTTTGAGAAAGGAGAGGAAACTATCTATAGGGAGTAATACTTGGTCTTTCATTATTCCTGAATAGCTCTAGAATTAGTTCACACTTACATTCCAATCTTAGCTGTGTGACCTTGGGCAAATCACTTCTCTGAGTTATAGATTCTTTCTTTGTAAAATGGGGAAGATAACTATCCTTTACTCACAAATTGTAGTCTGGATTAAGTGCAGTCTCATGTGTGAAAATACTCAACATAGTGCCTGACATACTATAAACTTTTAAAAAAAGTAACAGGGACCACTTATTGAATACTTAAGATGTGCGAGGCACTAAGCACTTTGCATGTATTAGCTGATTCAATCCTCATTCCAACTTTATCAATAAAAGCTGTTATTATCCCCAATTTACAGATTAGAAAATAGAGACACAGAAAGATAAATTGTTTTGCTAAGAGTACACAGCTGGTAACCGGCAGTTGGGAATGAGGCTTAGATTCTCTAGCCCTTTCTAGGATACCACACAACCCCTCTTTCTCAAAGAACAATATGTCTCAAAAATTTGTATAGCTGAGGCTTCTCCTAGCCATTCCCTCAAGAAGCAGTCAGTAAAAAAATCCTCAGTAGTCTTAGAGTTTAACCTATCCATTCTTTAGGCAGTGGGGACGTGGGATGAGCTAAAATAAACAGAGAAGTAAGAAAATGCCAACCACTAACCAGGCAGCTCCAAGCCTAGCTGTGGCGGCAATAATCTCTTTCTTCTAAGGTTGGTTCAAGTACTATCATTAAACACACACCCTATCATTCATTACCTTAAAACTCCTTTCTTAGGAAGAAAAAAGTAAAGGATATTGAAGAAAGAAAGCAGCAGCCATGGTAGCCATGGCTACTAGTAGTACCTACCAGAAAAGTTGCCAAGGTGGGGAGGTGGCTTAAGAGAGAGCTGGGTATCCAGCCAGCTCAGATGCTCATCAACAACCCCTCCAGCCAGCCCTTAGTACTTCTTTCTGCAAGCTGGATCCTCCCTTAGTTGAGAGCCATTTGCCTTCCTGTTAAGATCTCCTGAAATGAAGGGCCATCAGCCCAGTCTCCTGAGTATGATCCAAGGGGCTCACGCACAGTCAGGTTCTACTTTCAAGAACAGAAAGGAGTGGCATTGAAGGCAAGGTATGACCATCAGCCTGGTTGGGCCTAGATCTTGCCACAGCCTTAGGGAATGAAAGCCAGTGTCAAGAGCTGGATAAGAATGAAGACGCTGTTCCAGAAACCAGCCAGCACCCTGGTGGCAAAGGGAAGGATGAAAGACAGTTCCGGCAGCATAAACAGCCCCCCTGTTCCTTA